TTTTTTACTTAAGCCATTTTTAGTAGCCAGTTCAGCGTGTCTGCCTTTACAACCTCTCTTCAAAAAAAAACCCTGGACAAAATAACCTTTTCAAAGTGACAGCATTGTTACACATTCCCCTTAAAAAAAAAGAACCATCAAGATAGAAAGATGGCTTCATTTTAAAACCCTTAGTCTTACTCTATTAGTACACTACAATACATATATATTATATTGATTCTAAGCATGCAAACATTCACTACTACATTCTATTTCAGTTTGTTTACTCCTGCCACCGAAGTCTTTCTTCATCAAAGTGGCAAAAACACGTCAGCAATTCCTTTCTCTTGTCCTGCCACCTGTATAACTTTCAAATTGAATGGCTGCAATAATAAGCTCCATTTAAACAGTCTGGAATTTTTGTCCTTAAATTTCTCCAAAAACTTTAATGGGCTATGATCAGTATATACAATTGTCTCAGACACATTACTGGCAATATAAATGTTAAAATGTGGTAACGCCAACACCAAGCTCAACATCTCCTTCTCAATCGTTGAATATTTCTGTTGAATACCCGATAGGTCTTTCTATCTTCTCGTTGTCTTCTTGTAAGAGTACAGCACCGAAACCCACATCACTCACATTGATAGCCACCTTGACTGGCTTTACGTAATTAGGTGTGAATAACATTGGCGCAGTGGTTAACGGTTCAGGCTGTCAAAAGCATTCTAGCAGTTAGCCATCCACTGAAATTTCTGCACTTCTTCAACAAGTCAGTCAATGGAGCAACCACACTGCTAAAATTCGGTACGAACTTCCGATAAAACCCACTCAATCCCAGAAATCATAGTACTGGTCTCTCTGTTGATGGTATGGGAAAATCCCCAATAACTTTTGTTTTCACATTCTGTGGGGCCATCATCCATATCCGATAATATGGCCCAGGAACATGACTTGGCCTTTTGTGAATTCACTCTTAGCCAGGTTTATCTTAGCCTGCCTCCCAAAGTCGATCAAATAATTTTGATAAATACTGCAAATGTTGCTTCCATGTGCCACTAAAAATCACCAGGTCGTTGATGTACACTACACAATGGGTTAATCCAGAAATGACTTTATTGGTTAGTCTTTGAATTGCGGCTGGCCCATTTTTCAGACCAAATGGCATGACTTTAAATTGGTACAGTCTATTTGGTGTCATGAAAGCCAAAATTGTCGTTGCTCTTTCATACAAAGGTACATGCGAGTATCTTCTGAGTAAGTCCAACTTAGAAATATAAGTTGCTTGTCCCACCTTCTCAATGCAGTCTTCCAAATGTGGAATAGGATGTGAAACAGACTCTAACTCCACTAACTTGCACGTAATCGTTGGGTATCTTCTGGTTTTGGCACCAATACTATGGGTGAACTCCAGTTGCTGCAACCCACTTTGATTACATTATCTTTAAGCATGCATTCAATCTCTTTTTGAACCTGTGCCAACTTTAGAGGGCTAAGTCTATAAGGATGTTGCTTAATTGGAACAGCATTTCCTATATCTACATAATGCCTTATTAGATTAGTACTTCCCAGATTATTCACACATATCTCACCATGTGATAGTAATAACTCTTTCAGGTCATTTCGATTTTCCTTTGGAAGGTAACTCAATAATTAATTCCAATTTTTGAGAACTTGCTCATTGTCCAATTTAATTTGAGGAACATTCAATTCAGAATCCTCTGAACTTGGTTCTTCACACTGTGTTGTAACCAGTAACACATTCTCCTTTTGCTTTCCGTCCCTATCAAAATACCTTTTGAGCATATTCACATGAGACGGCTCTGTGAGATTTCTTTCTATCTGGTGTTCTTATCAAAAAAATTCACCTCACTCAATCTCCTTTCGATTTGATAAGGTCCACTAAACCTTACTTTGAAAGGTTCACCTATCACCGAAAGTAACATTAACACTTTATCTCCATTAGCAAAATTTCAAATTTTTGATTTCTTGTTTGTTTCCTGTTTCATCATATGCTGTGCTACTTTTAAATGCTGTCTAGCCAACTCGCCCGCTCTATTTAATGTTTCCCCAAAATTTGACACATAGTACAGATATGTGGTCTCTGAACTAAAAATATCTACCATAAAAATATCGATTAAACATGGTCTTTGATAATTGTACTTCAACTTCCCTATCTTTATTCTTTGATTTCTCCTCCTGCTTCAGGCTGTGGCTTTGTAACACGTCATCACACAGTCAGGAAAAATCCCAGGATATACTTCCTGTAATACCTCAGTTGCCTGATTTACCATTGGCTTTTCAACCACAATAGGCAGCACTCCTACCTGTGACCCAGCTATATCATTACCAAGGACAAATTGTATTCCTGGAGCTGAGAGTTCCTCCAGTGCTGCTATCACACTTCCCCACTTTTCACCAGACACTCCAACC